TTGACACTCTCTACAACATGTCTTCCTCGGCTGAGGAGGCCCGTGACACCGCGGGCGATCTATCTCCCGCGACCAAGCCGCAGGACCGCGTACGACTCAACATACACGTGCTGGGCACCGATGATTCGGGTCCAGATGACCATCTCTCGAGCGAGAGACGAGGGACGCCTCACGAGACTCCAGAGGGCCTAGACCGGGGCGATACCACCCGGTCAGACCACACTGATCACCTCCACACCACGTTGGAGCGTACAGGGCCCAAGGACGACACCGATGCGCTGGACAAGCCATCGTCGCCTGGCTCCGCCGAGGTCAGGGCTACGCCAGCTGGAATGCCTTCTGCCGGGCTGCCGGCGAGCCCTCCTTCGGCGGAAGCCTTACTGGACCCGAAAGGGTTTGACTTGAACGTGGCAGCGATCAAGCCATCCGCAGTGGACTCGCCTCCTGACGGTGGCGGTGGCGGCCGGGCCATCGGCGGCGGGCGGCGCGGCGGGTGGGGCGGCAGCGGGGCACCAGGAGATGGTGCCGTGGGCAGCGCTGCGGGGAAGCGAGGAAGGGGCGGAGGGAGGGAGGAGGGGGGGGCGGCTCGCCTGCCGCCCTCGAGCCGCGACAGCCGGTGCCGTGGCCGGCCCGCCTTCGAACGCGAAGGGGGGACGGCCTCATGCCGCCTCACCGCGAGAAGCGGCGGCCGGCCGCCACCTCAAAGGAGGCCTCTCGCGCTCGAAATACGTGCGAGGCACCTGCCGAAGGGGGTGGGGTGGTCGGGCGGTCTAGGGGAAGGCGTCTCCGGTGGGTGGGCGCCGCTCCTACAGCGCGCGGGGCGGGGAGGCCGACTGCGGCGGTGATACGGTCGCGCGCGCGGGGCGTGGAGGGCCAGGGAGGTGGAATCCGGGGCGGCGGAAACCTCCGATTTTTTGCAGTTCTAATTAGCCCGAGGCTGGCCGGAGAGGATTGACCGGTCCGATTCTTGTTTTTCCGTTGCTCCAGCCGGCCAGCCGTGCCTACGGCGAGAAAAGGAGCGTCCGACCCGGTCCGATCTCGCGCTCCAGCGGGATCGCCGAGCGCCTCGGACGCCACAAGCGGAAACGGCGTTCCGAGGCGGGGCGCGGTGGCGATCACCGGTCGGCGCCTGCGCGGCCGGCCGGCCCGGTGGGTCGCCACGGCACATGCGCCGCGCGCCGTCGCCAGGCCCCGCCGCCGCCCCGCCAGAGCAGCGGCGAGATGGGAGGCGGTCGGCGGGTGACATCGGCTCTTCGAGCGAGCTTTCAGCTCACTTTGACGACGCTAGGAAAATCAATTCGTGGAATCCAGTTCGAGATGCAGTGAGGCGGAGCCTACCCTGATTAGGAGCAGCAGGGATCCGAGGGACCATGTGGAAGACGGCTAGTGATAGTCCCCCTGCTGCATCGGGAGGACGACCCCGGCTAGCCGCCGACCACACCCACAAAGAACCCTGCACAAAGATCGCACGGGCGGGGACCTGTTCCTTTTTACCCACCTCACAGTAGAGAGGTGTCTGTTTTTATTTATTTATTTATTTAAACCCTAGCCTTGGTGTCAGGTGAGGTGTGTGTGTGTGTGCGGATCTCATCTGCGGTGACGGGTGTGTAGAGGGTCTGGCGCGACCTCGCGTCGGGAGGGTGATGCGGCCCTCGTCTACCAGCGAGTTCTTACAGCAGGCGCAGCGGCGGTACACCGTCGGCGTACACCATCGCAACTGGCTCGCCCTCGCCGACGCCTTCGTCAGCGAGGCATCCCGGCAGGGCGGCCGCTACAAGACTGGCAGGTGCAAGAACCACAAGTGCTGGCGCGAGGCGATTCGGTTCGTCGCAGTCAGCCAGGAGGGGGCTGGCGCCTTCCTGAATGCGATCCCCATGCGGGATGATATGAAGATGGAGACGTGGGCGATGCGCATTACAGTTCAGCGCCGCCTCGGCCTCCCGCCCGATGTTGCCTGCCAGGCGGTGGAGGCGGGCAAGAAGGCGCCAAACGGCAAGCCGCACGAAGAACTCGGCGATGCCGCAATGGTCAACCCGCGTGCGAAGCACGCGACACGACACAAATACCTGCTCAAACGACTCGTCAAGACCCTTCGCTCGGCGTGGGGCATGCTCATCGAGATGGAGCCGACTGCACACCTCAGTTACAGTAACCCAAAACAACCTGACGTGGCGGCGGCGAACATCGGCAAAGGGCATGTGCGCCTCGTTGGCGACTTGAAACTGACGAGCTCGCTTGCGTGCAAGGGTGGCGATCGGCTCGGCTGGAAGGGGGCTTTTGTCGCCTTCGGCAACACCGAGCGGGCGCTGCTCGACTTAGTGTTAGGGCATGCTGCATGGCCGCGGCCGGGAGGGGGGGGGGGAGGGGGGAGGGAGGCGGAGGATGCAGAGGCGGAGGCGGCGGCGGCGGAAGAGGAGGAGGGGGAGAGTGAGGGGGAGGCGGAGGCGGGGGCACCTGTGACGGCCCGCTACGAGAAGGGCGAGTACCGGTTCGCGCGGGAGAAGAATTGCGACCTGCGTTTGCTCGACTTCGAGACGTTCGGCGGCTTCGGGGACGGCGTCCGCAGAATTCTTCGGCAGGCGGCGGACCAGCTGAGTAACAAACTTTCGCACGCTCAGCACCTCGATGAGGTCACATGGACCACCAAGAACTGGCACGGGCTGCAGATGCAGCGCTTGTCTGTCGTTCTCCACACCGCCGTGGCGTGGCAGACGGTGAACGAGCTAGCGTGCGGGGACAGCGGCATTGTGCACGGAGCGAAGTGCATTGCCGTTCTTAACGGAGTCGCTTAGGCGGCTCCGGTGGTGTGCCGGTGATAGTACTAGCACGCGCCAGTTCGCACCTGTGTCGAGCCTGTCTGCTGTGAGAGAGAGTTGTTTGTCTAGATTCTTTTTACTGAGCGGTTGTTTCGACGCCGTCGTTCCCTTTCCGACTCATCTGCAATTGAGTCGGCGTCAGCCGGGCAGGTGTGCTTTGACCGACGCCCGTCCGCTCGACTGGCCGATGAAGAGCGACCCGTACGACGCGCACTTGTCGTCCTCCCTCCTCGCCAAATGACGGCCGCCCTCCGACACCGACAGTCGCGCTCCGCACGCCTTCGAGGTCAGCAGCAGCCGAGCGACGATCGGCTCGTCTCCAATCGCTGGGCGCGGTCACTCTCCGGCCCATCACCCGCCTGCCGATCACCTGTCCGCCTCGCCGCGCGCGGGCCGCTCGCCTGCTCGCCACCGCCGCCGCGCGTCCCCGCGCCGCCACGCTTCCCTGCACCTGACGGCGCTTGAGCTGCGCAGACGGCGCGCTCTGGCAGACAGAGCAGCGGCCGCCCAGGCGGTCGCTGCTCCGCCCCGTCCGAGTCCGTCCGCCCGCGCGTGCCGCTGCCGCCGCCGCCGCCGCCACCGCCGCCGCGTTTCCCCGCGCCGCCACGCTTCCCTGTGCACCTGACACCGCGCTCGAGCTGCGCACAGACGGCGCGCTCTGGCAGACAGAGCAGCGGCCGCCCAGGCGGTCGCTGCTCCGCCCCGTCCGAGTCCGTCCGCCCGCGCGTGCCACTGCCGCCGCCGCCGCCGCTCCACCCGATCCCCGTGTGTCGTGAGAGTAATGCTTTGTGTATGGCAGATGGCACGGGCGGCACACGTTGGTAGGGGCGAAGGTAGGCCCCTCTAGCATAGCGGAAGGGGAACTCGGCCTACTGGCGACGAGGAGGCTGGAGAAATTCGAGGTGTGTAGCATCTACACTGGGGAGATCTTCCGGACAGGAACGGCGCAGCCACCCCAGAGACAGTACCAGACGAACTGTCACGACACACGGCAGCAGGCGGGGGACGCAGCTGGATGGAAGTGACGACGAGAGCGGGGACGACTTTGACAGCGTCGCGGCGCGAATTAATTTCGACTGGCCTGCAGCATCGAATGAGCCGAAACGAGGCACGAGGGCGACGCACTTCGTACGCTACGAGGAGATACAATTAGGCAAGGCAGCTGCGCAGGTGATGGTCCTGTTTGCAGAGAGAGGAGTCAAGGAAGGCCAAGAAATCACATGGTCATATGGGGACTCATACAAGAGCCACCGCAAGGAGATGGGATACAGGGCGGGGACGAGGGCGGATCCGAAGACTCGTCGAGCACTCGCAGCCTCTCTGCGCCTCTCATGCTGCCGCGGCGCCTGCGGGAAGTTCAGTCTTTCCGGAAGATATCGTCGAGTTTTGAAAGCTGCGCGGTCAAACCTGGGGGGAAATAAGAGCGCCACGACGGACTTCAGGTTACCCCTGAAAATCTTCTGACGCTTCTCACTCCCCATCGAGCTCTTCTTGCAGCGCGGCTCTTCCTGTGTGCCGGGGGCACAGAGCTCCGTGCAAGCCGTCCAACGTGATAGGAACGTGTGTATCGCTTCAACGGATCGACCGTGCTTGTTATCAAGACCGATATGACGTACACAGTGACACAACAGACGACACATATTCTCCCACCCGCCAGGCCGCCAAAACGCTCTCGACGAGAGCCACAAGAAGCCGTCCGCACAGCAAGCCGGTGGAGGCCGAGGCAGCGCGCGGAGTCACGATGGCGTGCCGGCCGTGGGCCCGGACGAAGGTCCTGGCTCGAAAACGCGAGCAGAGGCCACCGTGTGGGGCCACGGCGAGCCTCGGCGAGAAAGGTCAGCCCTGGGGGGTCGACGGGCCCCCGGGGGCGACGGGGGTGCTCTCCGGCCGCGGCGGCCGAAAACGGGGGTCTCCAATACGGTCCAATAACGAAGTGATGCACTTAATGCAAGGGTGCCATTGTGCTCTACTACAAAAGTTGTGTAAGATGCCCACGTCTCAGACACTGAATCCTTAGCGGAGCTGAGTTCTGACGGTGTGAACATACGAGCAACCGGAGTGACGACCGGGACCGGGCCGCACGCCGGGAGTGCCCCGACTAGCAGTGACGGGCGCGGATGAGCGAATGAGAGGTCGCTATCTGTGGGAGATGTGTTATTAGAGACAAGGTTGCCTATCTCTCACTGAAAGGGACCTCTCATTCGCTCGTCCGCACCCGTCACCGCTCACAGTGCTCCGCGTGCCGCACCGGCCGCCGCCGGCCGCCGGCCGCTCACGGTAACGGAACAGTGTTACTACTCCGCAACGTTGAGCTGGATCAAACTGAATAGTGCTCCTGAAAGCCCTCTCTGCTCTGCCACACAGTAGCAGCTCACACGACTAGCAGCTGGTGTGGCTGTATTTGTAGCCATTTTTAGGCTGGTCCCAAAATAGTAGCAACACCTCATGAAAATCAGTCAAAAAAGCCCCCAAAAATCGGGGCCTGCGGCGGCTTCCTGGGGCTGCGCCCCAGACCCCCTTGTCTGGGGGGACCCCCCCCAAGAGCACCCCCGTCGCCACCGGGGACCCGTCGACTCCCCAGGAGGTCAGCACCCTATCTCACGCGGTCGGTTGGGTGGACAGCGGCAACTCACCGACCCAACCCGTGCCGACAACCCAACCCAACCCAAAAAGCACGATTCTCAAGTTGCCCCCCCCCCCCCCCCCTCGTTGTACTGCCGGGTGAGCTCTGGTTTCTCCTTGTCACCGTGCACGACCGGCGCGTTGGCCGGGGCGCGCATCGCGTCCGCCCAGGCGGCGAGGACGCCGTCGTGGGGCCGCCGGTGGTGGGCCTTGTTGTAAAGGTAGTCGCCGAAGAAATCGACTGGGAATTTTATATTTAGCAATATGAGCCGCGGGTAACAACCCCTGTCACTCCGTGAAGTGAACAGAAGAGAGGTGTGAACAGACTGGCGTGCTGATCGTGAAGAGGCGCCATGTCATCGGACACCGAGAGCACGGTCTGCGACCCGCGGTTAGAGGTCGCACCCGAGCCGCAAGTCCCCAAGGGGCCGGGCCAGATAAGGCGCGTGCCCCAGCTGTTCACAGCAACAGCACGGTCTACCCCCGTCGTCCCACCCCAAGTGCAGCAGAAACTCCCTCGTGTTGTGCAAAGAAAGAAAACACGCGAAAGAACGCACTATCCCTGTCACGCGAAAGTAAACTATCCCCATGCAAAAAAGAGAGAGAAAAGTTTTCACCACAGTGATGCGCGTGGCTGGTTTTTCTTTTGGAGGCGGGTGCGTTTTTTTTCTGAGATGCTGCGTGAAGACGTGTTTTTTTTGCGATCTCAATTCGTGCTCTGTTCTCCGCTCACATCTGCTGCACGCCGTCATGCTCGCCCTCGCTCTTCTCGTGACGCCCTCAAACGCCGCCACTCGCCCCCGTCCGCGGCGCGGGGGGGCACTCATCGACACGCGCAGCCGCGCCGACTTCCAAATCAAGCTCCCGACCGACGCGCCGCCAGCGCTCTCCCTCGCGGCGTCTGCCTGCCGCAAACCCGACAAGGCCGCGGAGCTCCTGCTCCACCAAGACGTCCTCGGGGGTGGGTGGGCTCTGTTCGGTGCCCGTCCGGACGTCGGCACCTTCCATCCGACCTTCTCTTACCCGTTCAACCTCTCCAAGTTCAGCGGCGCCGCCTCGCGCGCCGCCGCCCCGACCACCCTCAAGCCCATCGGCGCCGCGGCCGACGCCGAGCTCGCCTCCTTTGGCGAGGCTACCGGCGCGGTCAAGAATGGCGACGTCTCGCTCGCCGACTCCACCGTCAACTCCATCGGTGTCACATGCGGCGGCGGCGGCGCCCCTGTGTGGTGCGCGGAGCCGCCGCAGCCGCTCACCGAGCTCTGCGTCTCTGAGGATCCGATCAAGGCCTCGGGCTCCACGAGCAACGTGACGGACTGCACGACCGCGACGGCCCACTCCAAGAGCGAGGCCGACGAGACGGACACAAAGGTGTGCGACTCTCCGCTCTCTCCCACACCGTCTGGCCTCTCTCACGGGGGCATGCTCCGCCGCCCTCCCCGCCTCTCCATCTCCGCCGGGGCGTCCTCGCCGCCCCCCACTCTCCCCCCACCACCCTCTCCCCCTCCCCGCCCCCGCCCCCGCCCCCGCCCTCCCCCAGCCGCCCTCCCCACCTCCCTTCCCCGCCCCCTCCTCCGCCGCCGCCACCTCCCTCCCTCCCCACCCCACACACCATTCCTTGCCGCCCGCCCTCCCCCGCCGCCCCCCAACTCCCTTGCCGCCTCTCCCTGCTCCGCCCCCTCCCCTGCGCCGCCCTCCGCCCTCTCTCGCCCCCCTTCGCCCCGCCCTCGCTCCCCGCTCCCACACCGTCGGCCCCACATCGGCGCCTCCGCTGCGCGCCGTCCCCGCCTCCGCCCCAACTCCCCCCCGCCCCACCCCCTCACAGAACAAGCCTGCCCCGGGCTCCACGACGGACGAGGCGGACTGTACGACCGCCACGGCCCACTCCAAGATCGAGACCGGGATCGGTAAGACCTACCCGCCTACCTCCACGCTCAACATCGGCGCCTACGCCGAGCTCCTCGCCCCATTTGACGAGACTTCCGGCGCGACCAAGATCGGCGACCCCTCACTCGAGGAGAGCTTCACGAACGCCACGGCCCCCTCAGAGAACGATGCGGCGTCCCTGCTCTTTCTCCACCCTTGTGCAGCCGTGCTGGCGCTGCTCCTCGCGGAGTTCCTTGAGCCGCTGCTGCGTGGGCAGGTCAAGAAGAAGAGGGTGGAGGGCCGCAGCCACGCAGCGATCTCCGTACCCTTGCTCGCCAGCACGCGTGCTCTCCGAGTTGGCATTGCGATCCTCTTTTTCCTGCAGGGCGTATGCGGCACACCAGCGGCGCCACCGTCCGCGCCACCAATCTCTCCTCCGCCTTCACCGCCATCACCGCCCAAGGTGCTGGTCCAGTTCGCCGTCACCAGCGGCTCCAGGTGCGCCGAGAGCCTGCCGTACGGCCCGGAGCCGTCCAATTTCGCGACGTCGACCTCGCCGCTGGTCTGCACCGACTGCGTCACCGACACGACCGACACGTGGGAGCAGGAGTTCTACTGCGACGGCAGCACTGGCCCCGACCTGACGCTCGAGTACAAGTTCGACACGGACCGCACGATCGGCGCCACCCTCGCCGCGGCCAACTTGGGCGGCATCCCCGTCACATGGTCCGCCTCGGGCTCGCTCCTCAGCAGCCCCGTCACCATGAGCGGCACGTGGGTCGGCACCTCGACCACCGTGTACTGGACCGGCTCCGTCGGCGCCTCCGGCTCGGCTCTGGCCTCGGACGACTTCGCGTGGATGGGCGGCGGCGGCGTGATCATCGACGGCGACCAGCAGAACACGGTCTCCGGCTCCACCGGCGTCTGCTCGGGCACGGGCGTCTACGGCCAGTCGAACTGCAACTCGGGCGACAGCAGCTGCAGCACCCTGTACTACGGCTCGTCGTCCAAGTCGTGCTCGAGCATGATCACCCGCGTGTACGCGCGCGCCGGTCCCAAGCCACTTGCCCCTCCGTCGCCGCCGCCGTACCCTCCGGCCAAGGCGCCGGTCCCGCCGCCGCCGCCGCCGCCGTCCCTTCCGCCGCCGTCCCCGCCGCCGTCGCCGCCGCCGCCGTCCGCGTCGAGCGAGGCTAAGCTCCGCTCCCTGATCGCGGAGGCTGCTACTTCGCAAGCCGACGTCGCAATCTACCTGCCGCCCAGGGCGGACTTCAAGCTGAACAGCCGGATCAGCTGCGGCTCCGACATCAAGGTGACCGTCGCGAGCAGCGGCGAGGGCGCGACGCTCGACGGCGAGGGACAGACCGGGCTCTTTTCCCTGTCGGGCGGCTGCAGCCTCACCCTGCGGGGTCTGACCCTCGTCAACGGGAGGACGACGGGCTACGGCGGCGTTGTGTCCGCGAGTGGCGCAGGCGACGTCGAGATCATCGACTCGACGGTCAGAGATTGCTCGGCTGGCACGTTCGGGGTGCGCCGCGTAGGGCTAGCCGCACTCCAGCAGCGCCGCACGGCAGCGAGGCGAGATATAGAGAGGGCCACGGCTGCCTCACCCCGCTCCCTCCTCGCAACCGCAGGACGGCGGCGTCGTCTACGCGTCTAGCAGCGGTGCGGTCTCGATCATCAACTCGGATGTGAGGGACTGCTCTGCTGACAATGTGCGCCGGGTAGAGCTAGCCGCCTCCCCTGCAGCGCATGACCTCGAGTGGAGCCCCAGTCCTCGACAGGCTCGCAGCGCCGCACGGCAGCGGGGCGAAAGATAGAGAGGGCCACGGCTGCGTCACCCCGCTCCCTCCTCGCAACCGCAGAACGGCGGCGTTGTCTACGCGAGGGACAGCGGTGCGGTCTCGATAACCGGCTCGGCCGTGACGAGCTGCTCTGCTGGCATTGTGCGCCGCGTAGAGCTAGCCGCACTCCAGCAGCGCCGCACGGCAGCGGGGCGAGAGATGCAGAGGGCCACGGCTGCCTCACCCCACTCTCTCCTCGCAACCGCAGTACGGCTCTGGCGGCGTCGTCTACGCCAAAAGGAACAGCGGTGCGGTCTCGATGATCGGCTCCACCATGACGAGCTGCTCTGCTGGCGAGGTGCGCCGCGTAGAGCTAGCCTCCCTCCAGCAGCGCCGCACGGCAGCGAGGCGAGAGATAGAGAGGGCCACGGCTGCCTCACCCCGCTCCCTCCTCGCAACCGCAGGACGGCGGCGTCGTCTCCGCGTATAAGAACAGCGGTGCAGTCTCGATCATCGGCTCGACCGTGTCGGGCTGCTCGGCTGACGGGGTGCGCTGCGTAGAGCTAGCCGCACTCCAGCAGCGCCGCACGGCAGCGGGGCGAGAGATGCAGAGGGCCACGGCTGCCTCACCCCGCTCTCTCCTCGCAACCGCAGGACGGCGGCGTCGTCTTCGCGGAGGACAGCGGTGCGGTCTCGATAATCGGCTCCACCATGACGAGCTGCTCGGCTTATGTGCGCCGCGTAGAGCTAGCCGCCTAGAGAGATGGAGAGGGGCGACGGCTGCCTCACCCCGCTCTCTCCTCGCAACCGCAGTACGGCGGCGTCGTCTCCGCGAGGGACAGCGGTGCGGTCTCGCTAAGCGGCTCGACCGTGTCGGGCTGCTCGGCTGGCGGGGTGCGCCGCGTAGAGCTAGCCGCCTCTAGCAGCGCCGCACGGCAGCGGGGCGAGAGATAGAGAGGGCCACGGCTGCCTCACCCCGCTCTCTCCTCGCAACCGCAGAACGGCGGCGTCGTCTACGCGAGGGACAGCGGTGCGCCGGTCTCGATCATCGTCTCGAACGTGAGCGACTGCTCGGCTGGCTCGGTGCGCCGCGTAGAGCTAGCCGCACTCCAGCAGCGCCGCACGGCAGCGGGGCGAGAGATAGAGAGGGCCACGGCTGCCTCACCCCGCTCTCTCCTCGCAACCGCAGAACGGCGGCGTCGTCTACGCGTGGGACAGCGGTGCGGTCTCGCTAAGCGGCTCGAACGTGTCGGGCTGCTCGGCTGGCTCGGTGCGCCGCGTAGAGCTAGCCGCACTCCAGCAGCGCCGCACGGCAGCGGGGCGAGAGATGCAGAGGGCCACGGCTGCCTCACCCCACTCTCTCCTCGCAACCGCAGTACGGCGGCGTCGTCTACGCGTGGTACAGCATCTCCCTTTCCATCGCGGGTATCGCTTTCATCGACAACAGAGCGGACGGGTCAGGCTCGGTGCTGTACCTTTCAAACACGCCCTCCTCGATCAGCGACGCCTCCTTCACCGGCAATACCGCTGGCGACGACACGACGATACAGACAAACTCGCCGATAGACTGGGACTGCCGCTTGGGCAGCTGGATGCCGCGCAAGGGCACCTTTTTTGGCGACTTCAGCGTCCCCGAGTGCAACCTCTGCCCTGCTGGCTACTACGGGAACAGGAGCGGCCTCACCAACTCCTCCTGCGATGGTGCGTGTAAGCGAGGCCACTTTTGTCCAAAGGGCACAGCGGAACCGCTCCCGTGTGCGCCTGGTTTCTACATGCCCGTGATTGGCGCAGCCAGTGCCGAGTCGTGCCTCCCTTGCTCTCCGGGGACGAGCCAGTCCACAGCCGGCGCGGACCGTCCCTGCGACGAGTGTCCTCCTGGCACGTTCGCCGATCAGCTCAACGCCACCGGCTGCACCGACTGCCCCGCGGGACGCTTCTGCCCGAATGCAGGCACCATCCAGCCCCTCGACTGTGCCGCAGGGCAGTACCAGAACCTCACCGGCCAGGCTGCGTGTGTGAAGTGCCCTGCTGGCGAGTTCCAGCCGGAGCGCGGCCAGACGTCGTGCGATTTGTGTGCCGCGGGTGGGTACTGCGAAGTCACAGACGACTGTGGCGGCGGCCTCACGCCCTGCCCTGCGGGAAGCTACAACGAGAAGACGGGCAGCAGCTCACCAGATGCCTGTCAGAAGTGCCCCCCCGGTACCTCTAGCCCGACCGCCGGCGCAAACAGCAACGAGACGTGCGCGCGCTGCCGTGCTGGGACGTTTGGCGGCGAGCCCGGGCTGAGTGAGTGCACGGACTGCCCTGCGGGCCGTTACCAGAACGACACGGGCGCGACGTCCTGCCGCGACTGCGAGCAGGGCAGCTACTGCGCCAAGGGCGCGTCGGCGCCGCTGCCTTGCGACGCGGGTACCTACTCGGACAAGACGGACCTCACCGCCGCCTCGCAGTGCACCGACGCCTCGCCGGGCCACTTCGCCACCACGGGCTCGACGCAGCAGACGGCGTGCGCCAAGGGCAGCTACGCTGCCACGGCCGGCCTCTCCGAGTGCGAGCTGTGCGCTGGCGGGACCTACCAGAACGACACGGGCGCGACGTCCTGCCGCGAATGCGAGAAGGGACGCTACTGCGTCAAGGGCGCGTCGGCGCCGCTGCCTTGCGACGCGGGTACCTACTCGGACAAGACGGACCTCACCGACGCGAGCGAGTGCACTGCTGCCGATCCGGGCCACTTTGCCACCACCGGCTCCACAGAGCAGACGCCATGTCGCGAGGGTAGCTTCGCCGCCAAGGCGCGCAGCGAGGCCTGCGAGCTGTGCGGCCAAGGCTACTTCCAGAGCGAGCCCGCCGCCGCTGCCTGCGTCCGCTGCGCTGCTGGCAAGTTTTGCCCGGTGGGGTCGTCGCGCGAGCTGGACGCGCAGTGCTCGCCTGGCACGTACGCCAACGTGACGGACGCCGACGGCGACCCCGAGTGCCTCGCCTGCCCCGCCGGCTCGTCGTGCGCGGGAGGCGGCGCCGCGCCTGCCGTGTGCTCTCCAGGAACCGCAGCCAAGCCTGCTCAGGGCCAGTGCACCGTCTGCGGCCTCGGGACGTACCAGCCGGACTCCGGAGCCGCGGGCTGCCTCGAGTGCGCGCCGGGTACGTTCTGTCCCAAGGGAAGCAGCGCTCAGCTGCCAGCGACCTGTCCCGCGGGCTTCTACAACGGGAAGGCGTCCACCACGCTGGAGAGCCTCGACGATTGCGTTGGTTGCGCGCCTGGCAGCTTCTGCGCCGGCGGCGCCGCGCAGCCAGCGCCTTGCGCCCCAGGCAGCATCGCCCCCTCGGCCAACATGTCTGCTTGCGAGCTGTGCCCGATCGGACGCTTCGCAGCCTCCACCACCGAGTGCGAGGAGTGCGAGGCGGGCGCCTACGCTGCGAGCGAGGGCCTGTCGCAGTGTACCCCCTGCCCTTACCCTACTAGCTCCGACAGCGGCGACGTCACCTGCTCCATCTGCAAGGAGGGCTTCTACCTGCAGGACGCGAGCGCCCTTCCGGATGACATCTTCCGCTTCCCGACCGAGCACTGCAAAGCGTGCCCGCTGAACACCAACTGCGCGACCAATACCACTCTCGAGACCCTCGGCGTCCGGCGCGATTACTGGCGCGCCTCGGAGCGAACCACCGAGATCCACGAGTGCGACGCCTCCGACCACTGCAGCGGCTCGGGCGGCGCGGCGGAGACCTCCCGCCGCCTCGTCGCGGCGTCTGGCAGCGCCGGCCCAGGCTGCGACCTCGGCCACACCGGCCCGCTCTGCGAGTGGTGCGTGAGCGACGAGCAGTACTTCAGCCGCGCGGAGCGCGGCTGCGCCGACTGCCCGACGACGGGGCAGTTCGGCATCCTGGCGGGAGTCGTCGTCGCTCTTGCAGGGACAGGGCTCGTCTTGTACCGCGTCCTCGCCCGCGCCGAGGCGTGGGGCCGCCTTAGAGCACGTCTTGACATCTGCGAGTCGCAGGTCGGCGTGTATAGCTCCCTCAGTCACCCTGCACTGCCTCTTCTCCTGCCGTGGACTTCTGCCGATCACAGAATGGAAGTAGCCCGTCGCTGCCTCACACATTGCGTGTGGCGAGACACCTTTCGCGCCATTTGCCTTAGGTCGGCTTCCAGCCCAAGTTCAAGATTTTGGTCAGCTTCTACCAGATCGCCGCGACGCTCGGCCCCGTCTACGGCGTCCGCCTCCACGAGGACTTCACGCGCTGGACCGACTTCATGGACGCGATCAGCCTCGACCTGCTTGGCCTCACCTATCCCGATGCCTGCATCGGCTCGATGGGAGACCGGCTCCTGCTCGCAGGCTTGTGGCCGATCTTCTCCATCATGCTCGGAGGCGCCGCCCTCGCCTGCTGCGCCCTCGCGGAGTGGCTCTTGTCTGGTCGCGCCGACGCCCTCCGGCGCGACCTTGTGCGCGCTACGCTGCGTCGCCTCCTCTACTGGGCCATCCTCGTCGCCTACCTCGTGCTGCCCTCCGTGTCTCGCTCCATCTTCAAGGCGCGGCAGTGCGAGTCGTTTAATGTCGACGACTTGACAGCGGAGAGGCGCAGCTACCTCGTTGCCGACCTCGACGTGCTCTGCAGCGCCGACGACGACGAGTACAGCGGCCTCGACGCGTACTTCTGGGCCTTCTTCGTGCTCTGGCCGATCCTGTTCCCGCTAGCCTTCCTGGCGCTCCTGCTTTCGATCCGCTCCGAGGTGCGGGCGCAGCGAGTCAGGGCCACGGCCCGCGCTTGCCGCTTCCTCTGGCGCGACTACGATCCGCGCTTCCTCTTCTGGGAGGTCGTCGATCTGGGCCGCAAGCTGTCCCTCGCTTCTCTGGTGCTCTTCATCCAGACAGACACCGGGTCGAGCAAGATCCTCCGCCTCTTCGTCGCCTCTGTTGTCTCAGCCCTCTACCTCGCCGCCCTCGCCCTCGCCCGGCCCTTCAAGCGTGACGACGACCTCTACCTCGCGTGCACCGCCAATCTGTTTCTCGCCTGCTGCTTCACCTCCGGCACGGTGATTCAGCTGTGCGAGAGCGCTGCTTACGAGGACATGTGCAAGGCCCTCGTCGGCTTCGACAGCGCGCGCGGAGCGAGTGAGTTTGTGATCGCGCTCACCGCCGCAATGCTCGCCGCATCGCTGCTCGTCGTCCTCTTCAAGACAGTCAGCGCCGTCCGCATGCCCACTATCCGCCTCTGCTCCTCCGGCCGCCCCCCAGTCCTCGAGCTGTCCCCCGAGTGCCACTTCCACGGCTTCATCTCGCACTGCTGGGGGACCGGCCAGGACCAGACGCACACCGTCGTGCGGCAGCTCCAGCTTCTTCTCCCCGGCGTCCGGATCTGGCTCGACGTCGACAACCTCGAGGACGTGGGCAGGCTCGAGGAGTCGGTCAGAGACGCGACGACCTTTCTCGTCTTCCTCAGTGCGGGATACTTCAAGAGCTTCAACTGTCGCCGCGAGCTGTACGCTGCGCTAGGCTCGAACCGGCCCTTCATCCCGATCCAGGAGGCTGACGTCGACAAGGGCGGCGCCTCGATCGAGGCGCTGAAGGCAGAGTGCCGCGAGCACTGCGTCGAGACCGCCCCGCCGGCCTACCCCTCCTACAGCGGGCCAGGCGAGATGCTCGCGCGCGTGTTTGAGGCGACGCCGCCGATTGTGTGGGTGCGGGTGAACGCCTTTCAGCTCGAGTCGCTCAAGGCTGTCGCGATGCGCATGCTGCTGCACTCTCCTTACTACGCGAGCCGCCCGGCCGAGCTTGCTGGAGGAGTGATGGTCCCTCGCCAGCCGGGGCCCTGTGCCTTTAGCGGCCCCGTCACCATCCTCGTGTGCCGCGACAACGAGGGCGCCGTCGGCATTGCAAGGGCGCTCAAGACGGCGGCGAGGGAGGGGCGCGGCTCTACCGCCAGCGCCGAGACGGTAACGATCCGCGATGCGGAGGAGGCGCTCGAGGGAGTCAACGCGGCCCCGCTCTCCGGGCACGTAGTGTGCCTGCTCTACCTGAACGATAAGACCTTCCTGGACGCCGGCGGCGCCGTCGCGCGCCTCGTGCAAGCGGCGATGGACCGACGCATCGCCGTCGCAATGGTCCACGAGCAGGACCCTACCTGCGGCGGCGTTCCGTTCCGCAACTTTTTCCAGCAGACGCCGCAGGTGCTGCTGCAGCCGCCGTACAAGCTCTTTGACACGGTGGCGGTGCCGCTCTACCCGGCTCCGGAGCACCGCACGGTGAGCTTGCGCCTCGCGCTGAGCAGCATGGGAGCGGTGCCGTGCGACGCGGGGCCGCTCCAGCGGCGGTGGGAGCTCCTCCGCCGCCGCATAGCGGTGGCGCGCCTCGTGCGGCGGCGCCCCGCCGAGCCGTGCCAGCAGCCTGTAGTGCAGCCGTAGGACGTGTGGCGAGACCTAAGCTGTAAGCAAGGGCTGATCCGGACGGGGAGCCGCCGAGCAGCAACAGCAGTGCCAACCAACCAGCGGAGATGTGGGAGGGAGAGCGTAGCGCGAGGCGGCTGCGCGGCCGTAGAGATACGCACGTGGGCCGTGATTGATGGTCGGCAGCTCGGTCGGCGCGAACTCTAGGCGCGAACGCGGCAATAGTCTCATTCTTGGGGGGCCTCTTTTTAATCGAAAGAACCGTTACATACTCATCAAGCTACGAGAAAGCGAGCACCCGCTTCTGGATGCCGACCGGGCGACTTCATTCAGCGCCCGAGTGCTACCTTGTTGCCCCGCTGGCTACTACGGAAACAGCAGGAGCGGGGCCCCTCACCACACCCTCCCCTGCAGCGGCCAGTGCGTCAGGGGCCACTATTGCGAGGAGGGGACCGCCGACCCGAGCCCGTCATCGGGCACCAAACCAGGAATTCGGCACTTTTTCGGTGCTGGTAGCCCCCCCAAAACAGGCGCGCGCAGCGCGCCCAGGGGCGCCGCAGGCGCCCCAAGCGGCGCGGAGCGCCGCCGCAGGCGGCGGACAGCAGGTGCGCGAAATTAAACGCCATTTTCGGTTCCGCGGTTTTGCCACTAACATTGAAATCCGGTACAAAACGACTTAGCCGAAACAGCTGACAGACAGACAGAGAGCACACACGTTCGAGACGGGGGTGCGCCGACCGCCGTCGCGGACCCAGTAGAGCTAGATGGTCCCACAGGATGCGCCCTTAGCCTCTGAGCTCGTCCTAGACATTTTAGGGAAGCGTGGGCAGACCAGAACGCGGCCACGGCGACGCTCCCCTCCGAGGCTGTCAGCAGCGCTGGCGGCGATCGTGGCGACGGCGCCTCGCCGCTGCAGCGGCACAGAATCGAGGAAGTGGCGTTGGTGGCAGCATCAATGAGATATGAAGGCGGCCGTAATGCTGGTGGCGCCTTCGAGGGCGGCGGAGAGGGCGGTAGCAGCGACGGCGATCGAGTCATGTGGCAGGGGTGCGAAGCAGCAGGGAGGCTTGAGTTAGCGACGCGGGGCGGTGGCGTGCCAGCAGGTAAGCGGCGGCGGCGGAGAGCAGGTGCGCGAAGTAAAGGCCAATCTTGAGATATCCATTTTGCACCACCTTTGGATTTCTGGTACAAATTGACTTGTGGATCTTGAAGGCACGCGCAAGAGCGCACCAGGCAAGTTGACTGAACCTCGGATCTCGCTGCCGCTAAGCGTGGCGTCGATTATCAAACGAGCGGTGACAGTAGCGGTGGCAGCGGCGGCAGCGTCGACAGGAGCACCTACTGCAGCGTGAAATGTGAGCTGGGAGGCGGGAGGCAGATGCAATAGGAGCGGGAGAGTGAGATGTCAGCCAGCACGGCAGACCTTTAAAGCGCGGCTGCGGGCGCGTTTGCAGTGACATGCGATCCATGTGGTAGCAAAGGCACGGCGGGAGTAGCGCGTATGCAGGCTGTGGGCGAGGGTGGCGCGTCGCGAGTGGCGGTGCAGCTAGTCGGTGGCGCGGGTGCTGGCGACCGGCGGAGAGATGCAGACGGCGCGAGAGATGAACCCTGCGGAGAGGCGAGGTGACGGGCGAACCGCGACGGTGGGAGAGGGCTGAGCATCGGCTTCACCGGAGGCACAGGAGCCTCGCACGCCCGACCGTGACGAGAGCGCCCTAACGCTGCTTGTACAAGCAGCGTTAGGGCGCTACCAGCACCGAATGGGTACCCTCCCCAGGAATTCTATGGTCCGACACATCTAAAGTGGAAGGGTGGGGTAGGGGAGAAGTACTCTTGAGGGAAACATTGGACCGTCAGGCCCCGGGGACTGGCCAGCCCGACTAACACAACCTTCAGGAACACCATTTTGCGGTCCTGAGCGGCCGTCTCGGAGCAGAAGCTTCCCTGCCTCCTTAGCCATGTTGCGGTGCCCTCGCGCCATCTGGTCCACGCACTGCTCGCAAGTAAAGCGTCTTCACAGGTCGGCAGATACGCCTCACCTTCAAAAAGGTGGCTGCCTACCCCAAAGCCCAGCCCGGTGCATCGATTTCTCTTGACGATTTCACTTTAAAACGCTGGTGCAGATGGGGTTTTCTCTATAGAAGTCGGAGCCTTGCGTCGAAGGAGAGGCAGCGTGCGGCTCCGTGGACTCGGCCATCACCCGCGGGTGAGAGGGCGATAGGAAGCACTCCCGCCCTCTGAGGCGGCCGTCCGAGTCGGGGAGGCAAACACACAGCCATCCTCGCGGGTGTGGGCGGCCTTATCGGCCCGCTATACTAACCCTTAAGTCGGCCCTTCCTCGGGTCGGCTTCGGAGGCCCCGCAGCCCTAGCCGGAGCTAAGGGGCCCGGCTTTCTCGGCGCTAACCCTAGGGGAAATCGCTCCGGAATAGGGTTCCCGGCACCATCGGGCGGCGCCACACGGATGGAGGGAGTCGGGTTTGCCATCGGCGGGCCGTGAGGGCGCTGAGAACTCAAGGCTGAGTTTTCGCTCCACTTTCGATGTGTCGGAGTATGCGAGGACGGCCCGTTCTGCCCGTTCTCGGGCTAGTCAGCAGATCTAGCGCAGAGAGGGCGATGAGGCGGAGGCACGCCGCAGCGGCAGGTGCAAAGAATTGGTATGAATAAGCGTATCAGCCGCTATACACACGAAGTTGTCACGGCTAACCCTTTGAGTCGGTGTTCGTCTCGGTGGCGAAAATCGGTCTACCGCCGCCACGCGATTGCGCGCGCGCGAGGGCTACTCGAGACAAGCTTGATGGCCTCCGCCGCTCCTCCTAGTCTGATCCGCCTCTCCTCTAGCGCAGAGGGCCTCATCTCGCCGGGGAGAAGTGCGGTGATCCGCCTACCGCCTTAGGCACTTGAACGGCGTCACGGTGAAGGCGGGCTCGGCCGCTGCCTCCCAACGCCTTCGAAGGCCGAGCCGCGCGCCCTCGCGCGGCGTGTGAGCAGCCCGCACGCGCGCCTGCTCGGGGACGCGCCGGGGAGTCGTGTGTGGACCGTTAAGAGAGCCGGGAAGGTCCGTTTGACGGTGCCGATACCTTGGACGCGACCGGCATGATCGGCGAAAGTAGCGCGGTCCTCCGCTGCCTACCGACGCCTTCCACGGCCGAGCCGCGCGCCCTCGCGCGGCGTGTGAGCCGCGGGCACGCGCGTCTGCTCGGGGACGCGCCGGGGAGTCGTGTGTGGACCGTTAAGAGAGCCGGGAAGGTCCGTTTGGCGGTGCCGATACCTTGGACGCGACCGGCATGATCGGCGAAAGTAGCGCGGACCTCCGCTGCCTACCGACGCCTTTCACGGCCGAGCCGCGCGCCCTCGCGCGGCGTGTGAGCAGCCCGCACGCGCGCCTACTGGGGGACGCGCCGGGGAGTCGTGTGTGGACCGTTAAGAGAGCCGGTAAGGTCCGTTTGGCGGTGCCGATACCCTGGACGCGACCGGCATGATCGGCGAAAGTAGCGCGGTCCTCCGCCACCTACGGACGCCTTTGAAGGCCGACCCGCGCTCCATCGCGCGGGTTGTGAGCATCCCGTACCCGAACCTACTCGGGGCGCCGCCGCGACGGCCTGGATGGCACGTATTTTTGGCCGGTGGTGCCTCTGTCCGAGTCGGCGGCGGCAGCGGCGATGAGGCCGCGGCGCAAGGGCGGAGCAGAACCGCCGCAGCGGCCTGCGGCTGCGCCGCGCGCCCGCGCGCGGAGGAGGGGCGTGTGTGAGTCAGTGCTACGCGGTGCCGCCCTTGGAGAGGCGAGAGAAGCCGGTGTGGCAGGCAGGTTTAGCTTTGTCGGGCGGCGCGAGCCGCCTCGCCGCACGCGGCCCAAATCAAGACACCACACCAGCTGCGCTGGCAGCGGGCGCTGGTCGTCTGGCAGGCAAAGGGGCGGCTAAACGGCATGGCCCGGATCGCGTGCGCCAGGCCCCGCGCGCAGAGGGCGGCTCTCTGAGCTCAGGGCGACACAGAGCGCTCGGCAGCAGCTGTGAGCTCTCAAAAGTCGCTGTTCACACTGGCGACACCGGTTTCTTCTTTTATATCTTCATGAACCGCTGGGGGAGGAATAATTTCGTGCCCAGACCGCCGTACTGGCACGGTAGGATCGAGATCCTCGAGCGAGAGATGGAATTGGAGCCCTGGTGCGACGGGTTAGGTGAGCTACCATCACTGTCTTAGTGCGCGCGCCCCGCATGGTCCGACACATCTAAAGTGGAAGGGTGGGGTAGGGGAGAAGTACTCTTGAGGGAAACATTGGACCGTCAGGCCCCGGGGACTGGCCAGCCCGACTAACACAACCTTCAGGAACACCATTTTGCGGTCCTGAGCGGCCGTCTCGGAGCAGAAGCTTCCCTGCCTCCTTAGCCATGTTGCGGTGTGCCCTCGCGCCATCTGGTCCACGCACTGCTCGCAAGTAAAGCGTCTTCACAGGTCGGCAGATACGCCTCACCTTCAAAAAGGTGGCTGCCTACCCCAAAGCCCAGCCCGGTGCATCGATTTCTCTTGACGATTTCACTTTAAAACGCTGGTGCAGATGGGGTTTTCTCTATAGAAGTCGGAGCCTTGCGTCGAAGGAGAGGCAGCGTGCGGCTCCGTGGACTCGGCCATCACCCGCGGGTGAGAGGGCGATAGGAAGCACTCCCGCCCTCTGAGGCGGCCGTCCGAGTCAGGGAGGCAAACACACAGCCATCCTCGCGGGTGTGGGCGGCCTTATCGGCCCGCTATACTAACCCTTAAGTCGGCCCTTCCTCGGGTCGGCTTCGGAGGCCCCGCAGCCCTAGCCGGAGCTAAGGGGCCCGGCTTTCTCGGCGCTAACCCTAGGGGAAATCGCTCCGGAATAGGGTTCCCGGCACCATCGGGCGGCGCCACACGGATGGAGGGAGTCGGGTTTGCCATCGGCGGGCCGTGAGGGCGCTGAGAACTCAGGCTGAGTTTTCGCTCCCACTTTCGATGTGTCGGAGTATACATCCCGTGCGCTCCAGGCCAGCATCAGCCCCTCGCAGCCCAAGTGGACTGCCTCACCTGCCCCGCCGGCTCCTTCTCTCCCGACGTCGGCCTCGCCGCTTGCCCTCACGGAAGCTACTGTGAGGAGGCCGCCACCCGCATGGTCTGGGAGCCTTGTCCCGCCGGCAGCTTCAACCCGGCCATCGGCTCCAACTCGAGCGCCGCGTGCGAGTCCTGCCCCGCCGGCACCGCTAGCGCAACGCGGGGCGCGGGAAGCACCGTCGCCGCCGCGGCGGGCCTCGCCGAGTGCGCCAGCTGCGCCGGCGGGAGATATCAGAACGACACGGGCGCTACGGGCTGCCGCGACTGTGTGCCCCTACTGCGCCAAGGGCGCGGCGGCGCCGCTGCCGTGCGAGGGCGGCACCTACTCGAGCGCGACCGACAACGACGAGCAGGCCGACTGCACGCCGGCCGATCACGGGCTCCACCGCGCAGACGCCGTGCGCCAAGGGCAGCTACGCCGCCACGGGCGGCCTCTCCGAGTGCGAGCTGTGCGCTGGCGGGACCTACCAGAACTCGAGCGGCGCGGCCCCTGTGGCGGCGGAGCGGGAGGGCAGACGCCGATGGCCTGGACACGTCCGCCGTCCTGCCGTTGCTGGCGCGTGGCGTGCGACGCATCATCAGCATGCAGACAGGCAACGGCATGCAGCGAGGCGGGACATGTCCAGGACACGCCCCTGACATGTCCGGGCCGTGTCCCACAGGAAAAAAGCCCTACCGCACCCTCGAGCAGTGCGGCGGAGACCTGACCGAGGGGGTGGAGAGCGGTCTGATGGCGCCCCCCTCACAGCGCTACGCGCGCCGCGCCCGCCCGGCCGCTACCAGAGCTCACGGGTGTCGATCTGCCGCATATGTTAAAAAAACTGTTCAAGTCTTAAAGGCAAAACACAACGCTCTGCGGTTGGTGCACCCCTCACACTGACACATTCCCCTCATCCCCTACCCTTGGCTGAGCACATCTACCTTGCGAGCTAGCATCTCCGCATTTTCTCTTCCAGTCATGTCCGCCCGCGCCGCGCGCGCCATCTCTGGGCGTGGCTAGTGCAGCCACTGAGAGAGCTATTCCGAAGGAGTGGTCGACGCCTCGCCTAGAGTTCGGGTGGACTTGCGCACTGCTTAGCCCTGAGGGGAGTGTGTGTGAGGTGGTGTAAAGATAGTAATGTTGTCCCGTTTCAGGCGGCAGGTCAGGGGATTAGCCGGGAGGATTCGGCAGCTCAGCTGGGGACTGAGCGTCTGCAGGCAGCCTTCCGCCCGCGCCGAAATTCACAGCCCTCCCGGGCCGACGGGGTGCTCCTTGGATCGGGCCCCGCTCCCCGCTTTTCCTGTACCTGGACTGTCCGGGTCAGGAGGGTGAGAGTATTGGGTGGGCAAGGGAAGTACATCTGGCGGGTGGCGATTGAGGGACAGCAAGTGGGTTGATTGGGGGGTCAATGGGCGCGCGGGTGGCGCTTTGTGGTCCTGGGCGAGCAAGGGAAGTGGTTAGGAGTCTGGGGCCTAGAGAGGATTGTCGAGATGGCATGCGAGAGCGGTGGGCGTCTGGGCGAAGGTGGCGCGGCTGGAGGTGGGCGAAGGTGGCGCGGCTTGCGGGTGGTGTCCGAGGGACGATGATGAGTTGTCAGTTGGGGCGCGAGCACGCGCGGGGTTCATACTACATAGGGTGCTGGTTGTGAGCTGTGCTATACCTGCAGGCTTGCAGCGTTGAGTGGGCGGTTTTTGGTCGAGCGGTCTGGTCGAGCGGTTTTTGGTGAGCAAGTGAGCGAGGGATCGAGGGAGCGTGGGAGCGGCGCGCGAGCACCGTTTTTTTTGCTGTGCGAGTCGAGTTCGTGGCCGGTGCGCGGGAACCTGGCTGAAAACCCGCGCAGCCGGCCGGTTGTGCGACCGAGGTCGCCGATGGTACGACCGAGGTCGCAGAGCCTTGGCGACGCGACGCGCACGTCGCCAAGGAGTTCGTAAAATGTCCGAGGGTTTTCCACCGGACATCTGTTCAGTGTGTTCTCCTGTGACTCCCCTCCCTTGGGTTGTCAATCTTCTTTCTTGCTTTCTTTCTTTCGGGAGGTAAGGTAAGGTAAGGTAAACTTCTCCACACACACGAGGTGGTGGGGCAAGGGGGGGCAACCCTCGCGTCTCCACGTCTGACGACAGGAGCCCCACGGCATTCAAAGTGCAAGGCCCAGTGCGCGTGGGTGAGCGGTGTGTGTGTGTGTGTGTGTGTGTGTGTGTGTGTGTGTGTGTGTGTGTGTGTGTGTGTGTGTGTGTGTGTGTGTGTGTGTGTGTGTGTGTGTGTGTCACGTCACTTTCTTTCGGGAGTACTAGCACGCGCCAGTTCGCACCTGTGTCGAGCCTGTGTGCTGTGAGAGAGAGTTGTTTTGTTTAAATTCTTTCGGGAAGCGAGCGGACGCGACGGCCAGGTGGGCCTAAGGGGCTGTGCTCCTTTTGGTACCTGTGTCGAACCTCTGTGTCGGTGAGAGAGAGTTCTTTTTGTTGAATTCTTTCTTTCGCCCTGTGCGGCCCGTACTCCACCTAGCCGTACTGAACTCTCCTTGCCAGCGAACAAAACGTACGATCAAAAGCTCGAGGAGCCGTCGATCCGTCGGAACGCGTCGGCGACGCGCTTAAACGCGTCCGCGGCTCCTCGCTGGCTGCACTTGTCCGGGTGCAGCAGCCGGGCGAGGACGTAGTAGCGCTGCCGCGCCGCTCCGCGGTCGTGCCCCGTGAGGCCCAGCACCGCCCACGCGCTGGCGTCGCGGTCAAGCGCGAGCAGCCGCTCGCACTCGGCCGCCGCGTCCGTCGGGCTGGGCCCCGGGTCCCGGCTGCCGTAGTAGCTGCTCGCCGCCCTCTGCAGCAGGTCGCGCTGCCCCTTGAGCTTGCACTCGCAGCAGGAGTGCGGCCCCACCAGCTTGGCGTTGTAGGCGCCGGCGTTCAGCAGCTCCGACTTGCCGATCCTCACGCGGTTGCGTCCGCCTTCGGTGTGGTTGAAGAGCCGCTCGCTGGTCTGCCACCGGTGACCCAGCCGGCAGCAAAAGGTGAGCTTAAAGACACCGCCGCCACCCGCGATCGGCAGCGAGGCCATCGGCACGCGGGCCTGGCCCCCGCCGCGCGGCCCCCGGAGCAGCACGCAGCCCTGCCTGCCCGAGGTCGTCCCGGTGGGGTATAGCCAGGCGGGATGGCCGCTTCCGTACGCGAAGGGCTGGGCCACGTGGTGGCCCTTGCCCCGGATGCAGAGCGCGTGGTGCTCGCACTGCCCGCTCCGCGGCACGAACTCGGCCGACTCGCACGCGACGCCCGCCTCGAGGAGCACCTTTTGGCCGAGGTCGGCCGCCTGCTCACAGGATGCGTGGGGTGAGGGGAGGCGCACCCCTTCGGGCTCGGCTTGGCGCCTCTCGGCCGGAGATCGGCCGCCTCGCAGACCGGGCACGCCGCGTCCGAGTTGGTCCAGCGCGCCGACGCGCGCGAGGCCTGCGACTGCCGTCGCTGCACCTGAGCCATCAGGCACTGCACGCTCGCGCCGAACCGGTGCCCCGCCCGGCACTCCCACTCCACGACGCGGCGCTCGGCGACCCGCGCCGCCGCCTCCTCGCCGGCGAGGGCGCCTTCCAAATCTGGCGCCCACGTGTAGAGCTCGGGCGACGCGCGCGGGTCGATGCACCGCACGCCCAGCGCCTCCTGGATGGCCGCCGCGTGCTGCGCCAGCGCCTCCTCCACCTCCTCCGGCCGCAAGGGCGTGCGCAGCGGCGCCGCGGGCGCCATGAACTTGCCGTACTGCTCGGCGTTCACGTCCATCGGGGTCCGATCGGCCCCCCGCGAGGGCGGCGGCGCGCGCGGCGGGCGCAGCGACTGCCACCGATCGATGACGTGGTCGGCGCAGCAGTCCGCGAACAGGCCCCTCAGCGTCTCTTCGGGCAGCGGGTGCGTCTCCACGGCGCAAGGGGTCAGGGCGCCGCCTCCGCCCGCCTCCTGCCCCACAAAGCGCGGCATGGCCACGTCGACGGCGCGCTCAAACTTGACCGCGGCGTAGGTGCCCTTCGAGCGCAGCGCCTGCGGCGGCGCGTCGCCGGGCGCGACGCCCCACGAGGGCGGTGGCGCGCCGCGGCCGAGGTGCACGATCGAGTACGAGACGAGCGGCACGGCCGTCGCCTTGCGGAGCTGCGACAGCCACGGCTCCACGTCGAGAAGGCCGCGCCAAGTGATGCAGAAGGAGGACGAGCGCAGCCGCCGCCGCCGCACGTGATCCGACATCGGACCCTCCACCGCCGCCGGCTCCTCCTCCTCCTCCTCCTCCGCCTCAGCCCCCTCCTCCGCCTGCGCGAGCGCCTGCGCGTAGGCCACTGCCTCTGGTGGTGCAACCTCCTGCCGGCTCGCCACCTCGCTCTCCGCCTCGCCCTCCTCCTCGCCCTCCTCCGCCCCAACCATCTCTGCCCCACTCTCGGCCGTCTTCTCCGCCGCGCCGGCAGCCTCCGCCCCGGCTGCCTCAGCCGCCCCGGCTGCCTCCACCTCCTCGCCGCCGCTCTCCGGTGAAGCGTTCGCCATCTTCGGTGGCGGCTTCCCCGCCGCCGCCCCCCGCCGCCTGGTGGCAAGCGGCCGGCCCTCCTCTGAGTCGGAGCCGGCGCCTCCCTCTGCGCCGCCCGCGCCTCCCTCTGCGCCGCCCGCGCCTCCCTCGCCCCTCCCTCCCTCGCCAGCCTGCTGCGGGTCGCCTCGCGCGCGCTTCGGTGCGCGCGCGGCGAGGGGTCGCCGCTCCTCCTCGTCCGAGTCCTCCTCCGCCGGCGCGGCTCCAGAGAGGACTTCGTTGCGCACCCTGAGGGCCGCAGCCTCTGGCACAGCCGCGCTTGAGGTGGGCGACGAGTCTAGTGCCAGCGGTGGCGGGTCCAGCGCCGATGCGAACGTGCCAGGCGCCGCTCCCGCCGGCGCCGCTCCCCACGCCCAGTACGTATGCGCCACTCGCGTTGCGCTTAGCTGGGGAGAGTGGTATGGCAAGGCCGCTGCGCTTGCCGCCGCCGAAGAAGACGGCGAGGGTGGCTCCGCCTTGCACTGCTGCGGCAGCGGCTCGAGTTGCACTGTCGGCGGGGCTTGCACTGAGACGTTGCCGCTGACCGCAGCGGGCTGGGCAGGGAGTGGCAGGGTGGCGGAAGCTGCGCCGCTGCCGCTGACCGCAGCGGGCTGGGCAGGGAGAGGCAGGGTGGCGGGCCCAAAGTGCAACCCGCCCGACACCAGAGCGTGCTCTCCGGGGTGTCGAGGACTTGTCAGGCTGGATGGCCGAGCGTCAGCAAGTGTGGCAGCGCTGGCGCCGGCAGTTGGGAGGCAGTAGCCCTGCACCGCTCCGTAGGCGCCATGGATGCCGAAGCCGCTGGTGGCGGCTGCCAGCTGCTGCTGCCACTGCTGCTGCGGCTGCGCGGCGGCGACCGGCGGAAGATATGGAGCTGCGCACGGAACAGCGGGCGGAGCTGCAGATCCCGCGTGAGGGGCCGCGCGCGGAGGTACGGGCGCTTCAAACATCGCCGGAAAGGACGGCACACCCGCGGCAATGGGCAGCAACGGCGCAGCCCACGCGGCGACGGGCAAAGCGAAGCCTCGCGCCATCGCACCCTCCGCATCGCCCACCGGGGCGTCGCGCCTCCCACTCCCTCTTGGGCTCTGCCGTTCGGAAGACAAGGGGTACTGCAGGACGAGGGGAGAGCGCAAAGGCTGTGGCTGCCCCGGCCGTGGCGGCGCCCTGCCCTCGGCACCCGCCTCCAGCTGCGCGCGCGCGTCCCAATGCGGCACGACGGGGCGGCGGACGCGCGCAAAGCCCCGCTCCGGGACGGACTCGCTGGCCGGCTCGCCGCCCCCGTCGAAGCCACCCGCTCGGCCAGCATCGATCTGGGCGAGGCTGCCAGCGCATGGAATCTCCATTGCGCGTGGCCAAAAGATCCCGCTGCTCTCTGCTGCCGCGAGGCCTTGCGCGCTCTGCTCGGCGCGGGCTGGCGCGCCCGCGCCGCAAAGCGAGCCCCCACCTCCGGCAAGCGCGGGGGCGCCCCGATCGGCTGCCGCCGCCTCCTGCAGCAGCTCTATCGCCTGCCCGATCGCCTCGGCCAAGCGTGGGCCACAGCGACCCACGGCCGCCCTGAGCTCCCCGATCGCCCGCCCAACCGACTCCGGCATGCGCCTCTGCTGCTGCTCGGGCCCGTCCCCCGGAAAGTTGAGGATGGCGTTGTCGCCGTGGATCTGCCGCGCCCTCGCGTCGTACGCGCGCGCCGCCTCCTGCTCGTCGTCAAAGTCTCCGATGACCACGTCGGTGCCGTGCTGCATGATACGCGCCTTC